AAAAAAAAAAAAAAAATGAATAGGTCAGGGTGAACATTCAAACCAAGCCACAAACAAAATAATTTTTATCACAGGGTCTATTTACTTTACTTGGAGAATTTTCCTAAGAATTATTTAGTGCATGAGATAGCTCTACCAAATAAATGAATTTGTTACTTTTATATGAATTCCACCCCCCTTTCCTCCTTCACTTTAGCCTGTATTTACTCCAAAAGTTGGAGGGGAAGCCTGGCCAGAAATTCTATGTAACTAAAACAAATTTGCATATAAAATGCCATTTATAGCATTTTAATAATAATTTTCTAAATTATTTCCTCAGTGGAATAGAAACTTTATTTCTTCTTTGAAAAGAGTAATAGTGTATCTATGATAACTGGAGGCCTGAAATTACAGTTTCTATTAAAGTCACTGGTTTGATGTTTGAATATAGTATAAAGGGGGTCTTAATGTGATTTATTATAGAGTGTTACAGTATAAATGACTTTAGAGATAATATAGTAGATCCCTTTATTTTGAAGATGTGGCATCTGAGAATCAAAGATTAATTAACACAGACTTTACAACTAGCTAATAGCAGAACCCAAGACTCTACTGTAGGTTTATTTCCATGATTTATTTCCTCTACTAATTATAAAGTGATGATACAAAAGAAAAAAGAAGGTGAGTCAGTGGAGAGTTTAAGGTAGAAAACATTTGGGAACAATAAGACGGCAGTCTTAAAATCCCTCTCACTGCCTCAGGAACACCATGGTCTTAAAATCCCTCTCACTGCCTCAGGAACACCATGGTTTGAATATGACACTGCAACTGAGAAATCACGACTCATCACACCATGATTCTTACTTAAGACATGGACAATAACTGAATTCTATTTTCTTATCCTGAATCAGGTAGCATTTCATTTTTAGCAGTCTTATATATGTTAACTTACAAAGCATCCACTATAGTCAAGGCATTATGGCATTGTGCTGGTTAAATGAAGCGCTGGTTAAAAATAGTTACAAGAAACCAAAATTGCTCTCTACCTATTATAAATATTTTTAGAGTTACAGACTCCTTTGAGAAACTTTGAGTCTTCTCCCCTAAAATGGTATATACACACACAAAGCCTATTTTTTAGAATCAGTGATTGTTAGATTAACACTCCTATTTAACAATGTACCTGGTTTTGAGTCATTTTTTCATTGCCAAATTATAACAGGAAACAACTGGAAAAGCTCATTAATTCTTTAAAAATGAGAGCAAAACGGTAATTTCTAATTTTTGTCTTTAACTTGTTTATGACTGTTAATGAATTAGGGTGTTTGAGAGAGGAGAATGTATAGTTTTTTTTTTAGAAACTATAATTTTCTAATTGGTGGACATTTATCTGCTGAATAAGATGAATGTCCTTTTGCCTGAGGATAGTGTTAGATCTAAAGCGATCGGTCTTTTAATCTGAGTATCTAATTAAGAAGAGGATGACTTAACCTATATCTTTCATATGTTTGGTGTTTATACTTTTTCACCTTATCCACAAGCACGTAATCAATTTTTCTTCCCCAGTAAATGGAGTTCCATGGCCTCAAGAAGCAACACGACGAAATAGCCATACTTTTAACTGCAGGATGCTAATTCACCCTCCAGATGAGCCGGGTACTGAGAACCAAGAAGCTTGTCAGCGGTATGAAGTAATGCAGTGTTTCACTGTGTCACAGCCAAAATCAATTCAAGAGGATGGAGAAGGTAAAGCAAAGCATTATTTTAAAGTGCCTGCTTTTTCTATGACTTCAAAGATTAGGCAGGTAATGGATTGATAAACTGCCTTCTTCAGATAATATTATTGGTTACTCTAATATATTATCATAGTAGCTTTTCAATTTGCTACGTATTTCTTAATACTTAAAAAAATTGCTGACATCTATAATCATCCTTTAATATGCCCCCAAATTCTCAGTTTTAAGCTGGCATTCCCACTAAAATGTCAAATAATTCAAACTAACTTGCTGTCTAGAAATAAGAGCTGTAACTAACTGCTGCCAGTTGGAAATGTACCAGATGCAGCAGACTGTCGAACAGCTCTGCTTTTTAGAAAGTTTCAAGTTTAGAGTGTAGGGAACATTGGAGAATAGGGATTGGCATTTTTCAGGCTATCCAAGGTAATGTAGAAGGAGAAAGCTTATGAACAGATGGAAACATAACTGAAGCTCTAATATGAATATGGCATCAACATAGAATTAGTTAACTGTGTGACAGTGGACGAGTTTGCTATGTAAACTTAGACTGAACTAAGTTTAGGAATACCATAAATTGGGAACTGGAGGAAGACAGTAGACAAGAAGTCAGTCAAGTGCAAGAAAGGCCTTGCATGTAGCAGGGCTTACCAGGAAATGGAAGTCACAGTCACCTGGGGACTTCTTACAAAATACATGTGCCAAGTATTATGTGATGAAAGTTCATTTTTAGCTGTGCGATAATGTGTACAGCACTCTTAAAATTTGGGAATGGGACTTTTAAAAAATCATATAGTCTAAAACTGTAAGGTTCTCTGTTAAGAGCAAAATAATAATACTTCTTCATATTTAAAAGTTGTTTTTCTCATAAATATCTACATAGTGGTTGTAAGAATAAACTGTGTAGCCATTAAATGCTGATGAGTATAGGAAATTGACTACAAAACTATATTGTAAAAACACCATGTTACTTATATCTAAGCAAGACTACTGCTACTATTTTTTTAACAGAAGTACTAGCCAAGCAAAACTACTATATCTATTAATAATTGCTATCATCCAAATACATGAGATTCATCAGTGTCCTCTAGTTTAAGTGAGAGCATTTAATAGGAGTAATTTATACATACTAGCTCTCTACCTATAGCTATCAGTTTTTGGTTGCTAGTAATTTCATTTCTAATACACTATTAGATCAAAATAGATTGCAATTTTTTTTTTTT